GCCCAAAAGACATGTTAATGTTATGGTCTCTACCCATTTTGTCCCAGGCCGATATTCCTTTTCTTTAAAAAAAAAAAAAACTGTATATTATATTGTTTTAACGAGTTGATTGATGAGAAAAGTTTAAAACTCGAATAGAAAATTATATTTTTCTTTTTTATATTCTCTTATTAGAGACAATCTTATTCGATACACTGTCAGGCACTAAATATAAACACCTCTCTTAGCGGGGATTTGAACTTTGATTTATCACATTGTAAAAAACTAACTCATTCTGTTAGAGCCAATTCTATTGGTATATTTTCCTATTTTATAATTGTATATCTCTGCTTCGCTTGTTACGGGCCATTTTTTTAATAAATCATGTGCCTGCCCAACCCATTATGTCATGATAGGCATTCACATCATAATTCTAACATTTTTATTTAGTATTAATATCAATCATTAAGTGCTGCTCAAAAAATATTATTATAATCATTAAGCAGAGTTATTTAAATAAGCTAATCTGTCTATTCTAAATAATAAAGTGCAAATCCATGAGATCCATGAATGGGGAAAAGAAAGCCAGAGATCAGAACCAAAATCTAATGTGCATTAAATATCTACATACCACATAATTGAATAATCCTAGTCATTAAACGTAATGAAAATGCATATGCATCCATTAAATGCAAATTTCAGCCAAAAAAAGCTAAATAAACGCAAATGACTGTTTTGACTTCTGCACCCGAATAGGGATATCCTTTGAATTTTTATTTTTTTGTTATACAAGATATCCTTTGAATTTTACCAAATGTGCACCTAGGGCTGATGACAACTCACCTTGATGATCATGACTCACGACCCTAGGGGTTCAGGTTAGTCGCCACGTGTCGAAAAAGTCAAGACTCGTGTTTGGATGAGCCCAAGCCCCACATGGGAGCGATGCCACCTTGTCCCCATCCGCTATTTGAAGAATTTTTCTTATCAACGTCCCTTATACTCCCCCTGTTTTTAGATATAATTTTAAAGAAAATTATTTGTTTCATTTCATATATTTTTACAAATTTAAAGCAGTATTTTTAATATTTTTCATATTATGCCCTTATTCACCCTAACAACTTCAAAACAACATTTATTAGGTCTCAGGACCAAAATTTGACCGTGTAATCAATAACTTAATTTTATTTCTTAATTTATATCCAAATATCATAAAAGATAGATTTTGACATCAGGGTAAATAATATTATTACAATGTGCACATCGTAAATTGGTGACATGAAATGTTTTCTTATAAATCGAAGTTTTCAAATTTGATCCTACTCCCAATGTCAAGCCATGGCCTCTTAGACTGGACTGAAAAAAAAAAAAATCAATTTAGACGTTATAATAAGTTGAAGCTTGATACTTCTCACGGTTAGCTACTCTATTTGAGAGCCACAATTTAAAGTCATCTCTGATTTTGATTAGGCAGCTTCAAAAATGAACTCAAAGATAATACGACTATTCCCAAATGCACTGCGTCATTTCATTTACTATCTAAAATTCCTCTATTTTCTCAAATGTCTTAAAAAGTATCCTATTCAGAGTCTCTTACAATGATAAACTATAACTATGATAATGAGATCAGGCAGACAAGCAGAATCACAAAAGTCACACTTGAACTCTTTTTATTGGGGCATCAATTCATCGTAAGTGGGCATTCTTTTCTTGTTACGCGCATACAGCTAATGTTGACTACCACTATCGGCTCAGTTACCACTGCTACCTTACAAAACTGTCAGCTCAAATTCTAGCCCCATTGTAACAACCATAACCACATCAAGTTTTGATACTGGTTCAACTCCAAGAACTCTGGAGATTCATCCAAATAGTTATTTATGTACCACAAGAGCAGGTGTTTTAATTTTTATGATAAAAATAATTTTGCAATTACATACTCACGTTAGCCGGTGTTTGTTTTCTTTCTTAAAAGGTCAGTAATTATACCATCATTGAAAAATAAGGAGTTGCATTGTTGTCCCACCTGCTATTTTGAACCGTTGGCATGATTCACGGTTTAACTTTGTATTGGTCTATGGGTTTGGGACAGAATTATTTGTCCCCTGAATGTATTGAAGCTATTGATAGCCTTGCCACAATTGCCATAGCAAGCACTCTTTCAGCGACTTAATAGATAAAATTAGGATGCTATTGCATTTCCTGCTCATATGAGTTTTTAGCCTTACAAACTAGTTATGTAAACGTTCTCATAACATATGAAAAAAATTTTGTATCTTTGATCACTCTTCACATTTTGTTCAGGAGGCAAACGATGATGAAAGAACTTAGATTATTTTCTCGTTATATTCATTGCTTTTATTTTCAATAGAGTTTGCTATACAACAGAAGGTTAATTCCTCACAAATAGTTTTTGATTTTTTTTTTTTTAATGATGACAATGACTTCGAGGTGGAAACTTTTTTACAGTCGACGTAAATTCCGTTCCTGATGGATTTCATAGGCAGTCCATATTTAAATAAGTAATCCATTATGTGAAAAAAAAAATGAATAGTGAATACTCTTCTACACTATACTCATCAGTATATATCAGTGTATGTAATGAGACGAGATCCAGAGCCAAGACCAAGACGGATTCTCATTTGGTGAAAAACCGAGTCAAATGTGAGAATCGCTTCTTTACGTATTTTTCCACCCTTCTTTTTGCGGTGGAGGAAGAAAAAGATCGTTTGTCAATTTCACTACCTGTAAGGCTGAAAAAACAGAAGCACGACGCACGAATTGCTCTTGCTCATACGATATCTAGACAGGTCATTGTTATTGGAAAAATAAGTCAAATAAATTAAAAGATCAGTTGTCCATTTCCCCGCTTGCAACCATGCCATTCTGCGCCTTGATTGAGACGATGTGAAGACCTTTGCGCGGCGCAAAAGGGCCAAAAAAAAAAAAATAGGGAGACGATAGGGCGATAAATTAATATAAAGATTTCCCCCAAAAAACAAAATAACCAATTTGTAAGGTGCAGATTCTGGGCCCGATCTCTATTCTTACGGTCTCCCCCCCCCCGGGGCGGCCAACTGACGGTCTTAACTCTTGCTCCCATTTGATTTTCTCAAAGGTACGGCATAGTCTCCTTTTGAAAGTCCGCAAATACTCTTGTTAAATGTTAATGCACCCCTAAATATTTATTTGCTCTCTCTCTCAATTCCTCTTGTCTTGCTATTATCCTTTTTTTTTCTGTAAAAAAAAATTTATGTGAGTTAGATTCTAGAGATTCACTAGGGCTAGGAAATACTTTCATGCTTAAAAAGTACTTGTATAAGTATTTACAGTTCATCCACCAAAAAAGTCTTTAAATCGGCAGTGGAATTTAAACTCACGACTTTATGGATCATGAACCGACTTTTTACTAATTAGACCAACTCTTGTTAATTGCTATTATCCTTTATTTCCTCTATTATCTATTTTATAACACAATCTATTTAATTATCCTACTTCTGCAAAACTGAGGTTAAAGCCCCCTTCAATGACCCAAAAAAAAACCGGGGTAAGGGGTGGGAGGGCAAAAGGCATTATTTGACCGGGATAATAAAGTAATTTTCAAAGCGATGAACTTCTAGTGCCCTACATCGATAATAAATTAATAAAATAAATCCAGTAGTCAAACTGTGACTGCAATATTGATTGCAAATAGTCTTTGATAAGATTAATTTCAGACTTCACGGGGTAACGCACGAAGTCTTGCGTGTAACCAGGTACAATTGTCTCATGGAGATTCGCATTAAATTCCTAGAAAATGACTAATAACAAAATAAATAGAGAAATTTAGGCCTGCGGATTAGGACCCAAAATTGCGAGTTCAAAACAAAACGGCGAGCAAAGTCTAATTCAAGTCTAGTCCGTCCCTGACGTAAGCCCAATTTGACTTTAAGCATTGAAAGAGAGCATCGAATAACATCCATCCGTCCATCCGTCCGGGCCGTAATTACCTTTCTCATGGCCACAAAGAACGGCCCCAGATCTTCTTCCCCTTAAAAGACTACTGCTCCAGAAGATCCTTCAACCAGACAAGATCCAAGTTATCAACTGTATCAATACCATTACACAAGAAAATTATGGAATTCTAACTGGAGCAGATCAGCCATTGGTGCAATTCTTAACCTTTGCATTAGGAAAGGGTAATTGGCTCTGCCCCCTAACATGTGTCTTCTTAATTATGTAACCTACCTGCACGACCCCGTCCATTTCAAGGTCCGTTCATAAAACTATGCTACTATGGTCATGATAATGACTTTCACCGGAAAATTATAACACATCCTAAGACACTTCCGAGAGCCGTTATTTGTTATGCTCCCGGGATTCAATCGGAGGGGTTATGGTAGCATCCAAGGGAGGAAAGGGGCGTGACGAGTCATGAGGCCAAGGAGATCTTTTACCACAAGGCTATTACTGCCTAAGAAGATCACACTGTTACATCAAAGGAGGAAATCGTTCGCGTCTGACAGGAGGAAAGACGCCAAAAAAGTCATGATTCTCCGGGGCACAAGGGTCTAACACAAGGATGGGAATTTAGGCCATCGACTCCAAAAACCATTTCTCTGCTCTGTTCTCAAAATAGTGCCATCGTCATAAAACATGTGGAATTTTTCTCACGATTTGCCAGACAGCAACATGACCCATAATTCGGAGTCTCAAACAGATTCATTTCCCTCTATTACAGGGTAATTTTGAGAAACGAAATATTTTACCCAAAAAAAAAAAAAACAGCAGCAGCAAAGTACATCTCGTTTTACTTCTTCCCAGAATGGTGTAGGACCACATAAATAAATAGACACCCCTCTAAATTTTTCCAAAATGTGTGTGAATACCAACAATCTCCAGGAAGAAAGACACATGAAATTCCATCACCATATCACAGCCAAAGCAAATCCCTTATCGGTGACAGAAGCGAATGCCATGCACTTCGAAATTGAATGGGGACACGCACAGAGCCATGGAACGCTTAAAAGCGGCAACCTAGATACAACCGAAGCTCACAAACTATGGAAAATACACAGTACACAAATGATTTGGATAAAACCGAGGAGCTTGGATCCTACATATCAGTTTGTACATTAATGAGAGATTAGAAGACACAACACAATAGTTAATACATAGCAATAATTCTTGGTCTACCACCTATACAGAAGCTTCACATAGAGCTTATCTTCCAAAACAATGCATTGTTGTCTTGATTCTTCCCGTTAACTACCTATAAAAAGAGATTCTAAACTTCAACCATGCCTTTGGAATTAATTATATACATAGCATCTCCGACTTCTTGCTTCCAAAATAAATCATTACTATTAATCCCCCTGATTCCTCACATTCTATACACAGAGCTGAAGAATCAGAGAAGGTGGCCATAAAAACCCAAAAAGGTACCGCCGATGACCGTAAACAAAAATCAACGCCACTCATCCCCAAATCCACCTACTTCACTTAACCAGCTCCGAAACCCACCCAACATCCGGAGCTCCAGTGGATGTGCTGGGACCCGATGGATCCAGCGAATTCTCTTTGCTTAGTTTTTCAAACATCTTCGCCCTTATGTCTCTTCCAGACTCCACCCTCTCCATCACAGGCTCCTCCTCACAACCCTGATCCCAAAGATCAAAATAGCTGGCCCCAGAACGAGTCGGTGCCTCAGTAGGGGTTGACGGGAGGCTACAGAAATCTGGACGGAGCACCGATCCGCGTGGAGATCCAAAACGGGGAGACCCCATTGGAACATTTCTAGAAGGGGGGAGTGACTTTACCTTTCCAAACTGTAGATTACGCAGAGAAGCCACCATCTCATTGATGGAGCTCGAACCCAGAGAGCGGCTCAGAGACTGTGTCATCGGCGACATAGGAGGAGATTCTGCCGGAGGAGTTGCTGGAGGAGAAATAGAACCCGGAGATGACATGAATGGAAGCGTTTTTGCGCAGGAAGACTCAATCGCTTGCCTGAGAGGAGACCCATCATAGGAGTCCACCGAGTTAGCACTCCTCGGACTCTGCTGAGGAAGGACCCTGAGTTGCTCCGGGGTGTGAGCAAAGAAACAGACCCTGCGGCGGCAACTGGTGCCATCCTTGCATGGCTGTGTACGATAACGGGCTGGATGAAGCCAACACTCAAACACGCCATGAGCAAACTCGCATGCATCCCCCTTCTTGCAATTCCCCTTGCGGAAATCAGGGCATGCAGTACCAGAATAGTGATACTTCCTCGGGTCCCTACGGCGAGCCTTCTCACCAGGATGAGCATAAGGACACTCAGTCCAGTCATGTGACCGGCCCCGTGCACACCTCCTCACCTTGAACTCGAACATGCGGAAATGGTCGCAGGAGTAGGCGTCCACCGGAGCGTCCAAATCTCGACCAAGAATCTCGGAGTCGGAGTCGATATCGGCGTCGTTCGACGGCAGATAACGCTGGAGTGCCGTCAGTGCTTCTTGCAAGTAGTACGGAGAGTAGTCGCCGCCGCTGGCATTGCCATCGGAGTTTGCAGACATGCCACTCATGGAGTAGGGAGAGTACACCTCCGGCATCTGATCATCGATAACCGGCCACGGCGGTATCTGAACCGTCGGATTCGTGTGATGGGGTTCTCCGAGCATCATCGAGGAGGACTATCTTGAATGTTCACAGGAAAAGCGGTATGGTTAAGCCGTTTATAAACTGCCACGAAAGTGGGATTTAACCGTGGTTAGGTTAAGCGTAACCATGGTTGCATTAGATCAATGGCTTGCGAATTTCACCGCGGTTAAATGGAGCGAGGGTTCTAGCGCTCCGAGGAAGAAACGTGACAGACGACGTATGAGTGAGCCACGTGGCCAAACACAAGGTGAGGTGGAAATGACATGGACCTCCTGATCCACGTGGTAGGAGATGATTGGATGGTGATGGAAGATAGTCACCCGGCCTTTTTCCGTTGGACTGTTTGTCCCTGCAACGCCCCCAGTCTTTGGTAGATGAGGGAGTGAATGATGCGCAACACAAGCTTTTTCTAAAAAAAATAAAAAACAAAGGGGAATATTGATGGTACTATTGATAATTTAAAATTAATAATAATTATAAAAAAAAAACTGGACGTAGTTTTGATCGGTAAATTGGGATGAATATTATGAAGAAAATCGATGGGCTCAAAATCGTAGAGTTCGAACTTCTGATCTGGGCCAGTGTTGCTGAATAAGTTTAAGCTTGATTGCATCTGTTTATTTTAAATATAATTTGTGGTAGAACTCATTATACCTACTTTCTTTGTATTGTGTAAATTTACTATTAAGAAACTGTTTCAACCATTCCAAACAAGTTTTTTGTCATTTAAGGCCATGAGAAGTACCACATTGCTTTGCTTTTGAATGAGGTTTCTGTCTCGAATTCAAGGGTGACATATTATATTTGTGTGTATGTGAATTAAATATAAAAAATGATATATGATTATTTGGGATTTTATTGATCGACAATACTCAGTCCATCCACTATAAAACAAGAAGCCATATTGTTTGGTTTTGTTAATCTCAATGGAATCTATTCAATTTATGAGTGAGCGTTGGGTATCCGCAAAACTCTTCTCCAAGTTAATCTTTATAGATATAACCAATACTTATAATCGGTAAGAATATTTTATGAAAAATATTACTTATTTATTACAAATAATTAATTGTTTAATCTACTCAAATTAATCAACTAACTTTTATATTAAAAACCGAAAATAATATAAAACATATACATAACGCGGTTCATTTATTAGTGAACTGAACGTTTTGTATCCGTCTGGCTTACAACGGGACAAGCATCCCTAGATTGGGCATTCATCGTTTTATTTTAAATTATTAGGTAAAAACTGCCGCGAAATACAAACGGTTTACGAACGCCAATTGTGTCTCTCTGTTTCTTTTTTTGGGTCAGAGAACATCTACTGTGTCTAATCTTCTTTAGTCACTCGCTCATGCGCTTCACATTAAATGGGACCCTTCGACAAACCAAAAAGAGAAAACTATTTAACAAGATACGTGGGTTACTATTATTGTTAATTCCTCAGAGTTAACCTTATTTCAGTCGGAGTTATGGAATTTGAAGCAAATTATTGGTTTCAAATTTTAGGAGTCAAAATTAAAATTAGGTCGAATTTTAAGATTTATAAATTATATTAATCTAAAATACAATTGAAAAACGTTTATGGGTAAAATGAGCCCTATCGGTCAAATCAAGCAGTCAATTATAATATTTTTGTGCTTGTTTGAAGATTCTTAATATAAACACATTCATGTAAATTAAGATAAAAGTCCATTTATGTAATTATTTTGTATTTGATAAATCATAACAAAATAAAAAAAATAAAAGAAATACTTTCAAAATTAAAATATCATATACAGGAACTTGTTTATAAAGATTGTTGTCATTTGTTTATTAATTACTGTTAAAACTAATATTAATACTGTAATGAGTCTCTATTTACAATTTTTTTTTATTTTCAGTGTCCTTTTTTACACTATTACAAAAAATGTCATTTTCGTCTGTTTTTTAAAACAGGAGAAAAAAGATCACTATGCTCGTCTGTTAAAGCCTAACAGACGAGTATGCAAATATATACTCGTTTATTAAGTAACGGACAACAAACTTTTTACTTTAAATTTGAATTTTCAAAACATAGTGCCATTTTTTCATCAAATCAGAGTGAACTAGCAGCAGTTTCTCTTTTTCTCCTCTCCTCCTCCGCCGCAAGCTTCCTCTTCCTCTCTTCTCATGCAACAACCAACATTCTTCTATACTCTCCTCCTTGGCCTGTGACAGCTCATCCTCTTTTCTTTTTCTTGACAATGCAATAGCTCGACGACACAGTGAACTCTATGCCTAGCCTCTCTTTTCGATGGCAGATAGGTACTCCTCTCTTCTCTCGTGTGCTTGACAACACCATTTTCTTCTTTTTCTAGGGCTTTAGCTTTGCAGGAAGCAAAGTAAATTATGTGGTTTGGTGTTGAATGTTTTGGTTGTATGGGACTATTATATGGGTGTTGAAGGTGATTGTTTGGATATTTTGGTGTTGAAAATTTTTTATTTAAATTGATTGTTAGTGAATAATAGTTTTGGAAAGCAATGATAGTGATTGAGAAAGCATATTAAGATTAAAAGCTTATTAAACTTGTTTAAATATTAATGCACATAAAGTGTCTGTGAAAACGTCTAGGAGAGAAATGTTGTTAGAATATGAGAATATGATAGTTAATTAAGTGTCCTTAATGTTTAATTTTCATATTAAATTTTAGAAAGGTATGAGATTCTAAAAGTTAAAATATCTATTTAAATAAGTTAGGATGTTACTCCTCCGGTCCTTAATATAGGACCCAATTATTGAGTTGGTTTTGATCCTAAATATAAGACTCATTTCTCGTATTTATCAATTTTCTCTAAATTACCCCTATAGATACTCCCTCAACCATAATCAAGTAGAAGAGAAAGAGGGGGTATTAAGAAAGATGATGATAGTATTTTCGGAAAAATGTGTCACGTTTCTTATAATTAACTAACTTACCTAACTTCCTTAATCAAATCAAATTAGTTAAATGGGTATTATATTAAGGACCGGAAGAGTATTAGATTTTCTAGTTTTAAATTTTGTTGTGTTATATGACTGAGTTAAGGTGTTTAATTTTTTTTCCTTAACTAAGTTAATTTAGATGTTATTGTTGTCACTTGCTTTGACTCATGAAATTGTGGTTTGTATGGAAAGTGTAACATGACATGGTTTTGTTGAATTGTTGTCATTATTACTTTGTTTTCATTTTGCTTTATACACTTTAGAATTATAGGTTATAGTAAAAACTAATAACATAAATAATTTCACTTAAAAAAAAATCACTACATTTGTCTGTTTTTGAAACATACAAATATATAATTTCTATCTAAGTCTTCTTTATCTACGTTTCCCTTTAAACAAACAAAAAAAGGCCTTTAGGATAGACGAAAATGGATCTTTTTTTAGTAGTGTTACTATTTTTTCATAAAAAACTGTTTTTAGTTTAAAATATACTTCCCATCAATTACATTATTACTGGTATTTTCAATTAAATATTGGGACAATTATAATGAGATCGTTACAAAATATGTTTCAGAAGTTGTTATTTTTTACTCCCACCGAACAGTAAGAGATTAATCTTTCGGGATACTGTCAAGTGTCGCAGCGGGGATTCCTTCTTACAATGTTTGTTTCATACATACCACCTCAAGAATTAAACTCAGGACATGGTATTTAAAATGTCTAAGTTCCTTTCACTTGAATCAACACTTGTTGGTAATTCTCCTTTAAATATTTACTTATATGTATTTTAGAATCATTTTTTGGTTCACCAAAATGAATATTATCTTTGTCGTGATTCAATGTTTAACTTACTTTATATTGCTGGTCAAAAAAAAAACTTACTTTATGTTGGTCCGATAAAAAAAAACGATCTTTTTTTTAAAAACAAGCAGATCGATGCTTAGAAATTAGCAAGTGATTTATTTATAATCGCAAGGCACGGGGGCAGGAAAGGTAATGCTAATTTCAACCCCAAAAAAGATTTATAAAAATCTTATATTTATGATCAGAAGAATATCATTTTATTTTATTTTTTTTGCCAGAAAAATGTCCAGGCATCTGAAGGAAGGGAAAGACGTATTTATATTGAAAATAAATTAATGATCGCGACGTACAAGCAATTAAGAGAGACGGGCAATTATTTTATATTTGTCCCACGCCGCCCCATACTATTGAGTAGAGAGTTTGGCGAGAGTAAATGAAACGATAGCCACTGCTGGTCAAAAAGTTAAAAAAAGAATGAAACGATAGCCCCAGAGCCTGGGATCACACGAGGGCGGCTTCACGAAGCTTCTGATGAGGTCTAGAGAACTCAAGAAATCATGTTTATCATTTCATATAACAAGAAATTCATCAAACGCCAAACTTTCACTGCGGGCCTCCGTCACATTCGGTCTCATTTAGTACGGAACACTAAAAATAAAAAATAAAAAATAGAATTGAAAAAATTTATTAAAGATTTATTATACATGATTGGACAAATTGATGTATATGGATTTGAGAAATAGCATAGAAAAAAGTGATATTTTCCTATCCAATATGTATAAGTTGACATAATCTTATATAACAAGCAATTATTCATCTTAAATATTTTTTAATAATTTTTCTTAAATGTAATATCAGTTTTTATTTTTTATTTTTAATGTTCGTATCAAATAAGATTTTTAGATCATATTTTTTTATTTTTAATGTTTCATATTAAATGACACCTTTAGATCATGCTTGGATAAGAATCTCAATAGTAGCTCGGACGGGAAAGCCTAAAGCATCATTTGCATATATGCGTCCAAAAAAGTGTGTGTGAAATTATATTTAACTTGCTTAAAATCAATTTTTTTCCTCTTTACTATATTTTGAAGCATACAAGAATTCTCATATTCCAGGCAAAAACAAAAATACAAAGGAAACAAAGGAATTTGCTCATATCCAAAGCAGGCACATGACAGAATGTATTATAGTCTTCGTTATTAGACACGGATATCTAGCACTGTAGGATACAAAGTTTGTGTACCTCACCCAAAAAACATTTAAAAATTGATTTAGTACGTTGTGGG